ACAATCTATGTGCTCCTGTCACTGATAGAGATAAAATTGTGACTGAGGAGTAGGACAAGGGTCATAGTAAAGGTAAAAAAAAAAAGCACCTAAGAATTCTCTCGTCATCAGATTTTCAAACTAACTACTCTTGGCTTTGTAGGCAATATACAAGTTTTCATCAAATACCAAGAGACATTTAATAGTATTTACAAGATGCTCTTATAATTTTCCCAAGAGGAGGCTACTTTCACAATGGCAAATCACTTAAAATGTAAAGTTCAGATAGTCAGCACATCTGTGACATATATGAGAAAATCTTGGTAACATGGGATTATAAATCTATTCATTACCAATAGTTGTGTGAGTGGTGTTTGAAATTAAGTAAAAATATTCTTCCTCCTAAGATTACTATTTTAGGGCTGACATTGATTATACTATTTTTAAAAGAAATAATGTATTCTCACAAAACAAGTTTATCAAGTTTCACTGCTATCACAAAGGAAGGCTATATAGGTTTTTAAAAGACTGCAACAAATAATTCAGAAAGTCATTTAAATAAGGAAATAGGCTGGTGCAAAACTGAAAGTCACTAATACATTAATCCATCTTGTGGCAAAATGCTAAACTATAAACAAATAAATTTAAGCACTTGTTGAGTAATTTAGACAGAATCAGAGGAGCAATTCTGTATATGAGACTCAAAGATCAATATGGCGCAACAGTACTTTAACTGAATAATTTTCCTTAATATGAGAGGCAGAAGTATTTCTTATATTTCCTTTAAATAAGATCTCTTATACACAAAAGTTCAGGATTTCATACTTTCATTCAAAGTTATTTACTAATGTTTAGCAAGAAACTAGCTGTGAGGACACACATGAGCTAAGAGAATATCTCTGAAGGGTGAAATATTTTTCTTTATGTTGGTTACTGAAAAGAATGGTCCTGGAGTAGAATGTGGAGGGGAAAAAAACCCAATTTTTAAAGACACATCTGTACATTTATTAAAAAGGACTTTATGTAACACCTGAAAAATTTAAAAAATCTGCCAGTGACCTTAATTTATTAATTGTTGGCAAAATAGATTTTTGGCTTTTGCCTAATAAAATCAAGGCATTAAAAAAAGAAAGATTAACCAATGACAATATGTCAGGCATTAACAAAAACATTTCACAAGCAGTAAGTTCAAGGACATAAAACTCAACAAGGCATGCTACCCATATTCTCCAATGCAGATTTTGAAGAGACCAGATTTCTTTTTGTGTTTTCATATTTACAGAACACAATTTCTGTTTGCAGTTTTTAGAGATTCATTGTGAACCCTCTAAAGGTTTCTTTATCATTTAATATTATAAATAATTACGTTCCTAGGCGGCAGTTCAAAGCTCAGTACAGCACTCATACAACACCACCGGCAGGTCAGGTGACCTTTCTCCAATTCTCCTCTCTCTGGTGCTGAGGACAGACAAAGTGATATGTCTGTCATACGCCATTACCATTAGAACAGAATCTTGTTCTTTTATTACAACTGAACTCCGCCAGATTTCTCAGCAGGAATGCTAAGTGAAATCAATGTCTTGGATTTCCAGGCTGAGCTTGGAGGTCACAGCCACTCTATCATTTCTCAGCATTATCCTTTCTCGTGCGCGCACACACTCCCCAAGCCTCCAACTGGCACACAGCAGATTGAAAACAGCATGCATCAGAGGACTCATGCTGTACAATTTTACAGTCTTTTGGAGCCCCCTCCTTTTGATTCCCCCCTTCCATTTTTTGCAAATTGCAAATAAGTTTTGTTTGTGTCCTTCTCTAGAGTTGTGAGGCAAAGGCAAAGGCACACCTGGGAAGAAGGGCAGGCAATAAAACCCAGAGAATACGGTTGATTTTTGACAGCTGCCAATAAGATCATTTTCCTTACATCATCATTTAGATGTGGCTGACAATTCCATTGTTCCAAACAATAAATATATCTTAAACGTAAACTGTCAGTTTGGTTTATGCCAGGTAGGTATGCCATCACACAAAGCCCATCAATAAAATAATTCTGTTTCATAGTAAAACAGACAAGAGAATTCACCAATAAAACACACAGAAAATAGCCTAGGACACTAAGAATTAATTGTTTAAAAATATAAATATAGTGATAAATGATAGCTATTTCATATAAGTAAAATAGCTTTGTGAAGTAAAAATGTTTATAATGCCATATATATGTCAGTTTCAGGTTATAAGAAACTAAATTCATGTTTTGAAATGGGTCCTCCTTATTTACTGTTGGTTTTATCTTTTTGGCCATGTTATTCATTAAAATGACAGTAATATTTATTGGTCTATTTTTGATGTACTAAATTTTACTGCTGAGCCAAAACAAAATCACATTTAAAACATCTTTTCTGACAATGAGTGGTTGTAGACAGTATGCTAGAGCACTCTGAGCAAAGAAGGGAGATATTTTTATCAGATCATGTTATTATCTAAAAAGAGACACTTTATTGTTGGTTAGACTTTTTATGCATTTTACTGAATTGCAAGTGGGAAGAAACACAACATCTATAGTTTTCTTAAACTTTACATGACAGAAAATTCATAAGGGCTAATTTCCAAAAAGTTACTGAATTTTAAAGATAGACTATAAAAACTTATAAACTTACATATAATAGACATAGAAACATAATTCACTTTTACACTAGTACCAAAAAGTGGAGGTATATGAAACTATAGAAAATGGAAGATTATCACTGAGGTAACATGTCTGCTTTGCACCTATTCTATAAGATTCTAGGCATGTCTAGAGCCACAGACCCTATAAAGCAGTGTGCCAGTCTTGGCCACGCTAACCTTCACTCACTTGTGCATTTGCCATATTTACCTAGGAAAAGTATCACTGTAGCAACTGCTCAGTAAACATTTGAATGGATGAATGAATGAATGAATGAATGAATAGACCCATAAATGCGTGAGGCTGATTGAAGCAAAAACTTCATGATTATTTGAGTTAGAAATTTGGAGGGAAGATGCTAATGATAAAAAGTTACTTGAGAGGTATGGAAAAAAAAAACTCTATTAGTCATTTACAAGTGAAGTCTATACTCTAAAATCACAAAATGAAATGTCCTAATGCAAAGATCATTATGAAACATGATAAATCAAGGGAAAAAAATCCAGAGAATAATTCCTCACAGAATTATCTGTGTGTGACAGTGACTATGCTGCTATAGCTATTTACTTTACTCAAAATTAGCCCTTACATGCAATACATTAAAACTGCTGGTCTGTGAAGACCCCAAAATATCACTGCTTTAAAATTAAATTTTACTAGACAAATGTTATAATTATTGCCAAGTTTTAAAAGCTACGTTCTACTGTGATAATAATGAAAAGTAGACTGGATCTTCACTGTACGTTAAGCACAGAACATGCAAGGTCCATTACACAACTGAAATTAATCTTAAAAGATGTGTTTGTACACACCTTCCTAATGTCCCAGCAGTGGGTACAATAATTTGAACTATATATTTGCACATACTCTTGCTGAAGCATGGTATAAGTTCTTTGTCCAGGTTAAGTTGTACTTTCAAATGTATTTACCTCTTAATAATATGGAAAAGGCCCCAAGAGTTTTGGGGAGGTAGAAGCTGGAGTACACTTTCCCAATTCACCCTCTGAATTAATATACTAATGGTGAAAGGCATCTACAGGGTACTAGAATAGGATTAAAAAGGAATTCTTGGGAGGTTTTTTTTCTCTTTTTTTTTAAATTTTTTTCTCTCTCTATCTCTTTCAATTGTTAAGACTATACTTTTAACCTTGTTACTCTTAAGATATTTCCAATATGGCATTTGAGAAAGGGAGAATAGAAACAATTTTCTAGGTTATTCAGTAAAAGATGAAACGTTATTTTGAGGGTAAATTAAATACATCAGTTTTCTACTTAATATTTTCTAATAGAAATAAATATGTGTTGGCATTTCCGAGTAATTGCAGGGGAAAATACTTTATGGTTACTCTCCTGTCTTCTTTCACAGAGAGTTTAATATATTCATATATCATTTTCTAAGATCTTAAGATCTTACACAAAACATTTGAAATTAAAATTTTACTTCTTCCCTCTTCCAATACGAAGAATAAATCATTTGAATAATCTCCCTGCCAATTCTTTTCCATGTTCTCTCAAGAAATGTTTCCTTAGGGTGCCTGGGTAGCTAGTTGGTTAAGCGGCTGACTCAATTTCATCTCAGGTCTTGCGATCTAGCCCAGTGTAGGGCTCCATACTCAGCAGGGACTCTGCCTGAGGATTCTCTCTCTCTCTGCTCCTTCCCCCCACTAGTCCTCTCTTTCTCCCTCTAAGGTATAAATAGATAAATCTTTAAAGCCCAGAGAGTTGGTCTTTAAAAAAAAAAAAAAAATTTCTCTTTGCTCCCAAAAGTAATTCTATTTCTAAATAATCTTACTTCTAACCCTATAATTATCTTTATTTATCGTGAGAATCTCATTGGATGAATGATATATCTGAAATTATATCCATATTGCTCAGCATTATAAAATTTATTGATATTTAAATAAATATTTTTTGGATGCCCTGTCTGTACTCAGATTATAAGGTATATTTCAGTTGCCCCTGTTTTTGGGAAACCATTCCCAGAATCTCTCATTAGAGGTAACTAACATCTTTGTCTTAATGACTTCCAATGAACTTTATCTGTAACTCTCTGAGACTTTGTATCATAGAACATGGGTATCTATTTTATAACACTTTAAGCTACCTGAGCACAGCATATATCTATCTTATAAATCTTTGTATCACTCACATTTCCTACTATAGCTATCCATGCATGCTTGTTGAATAAATGAATGACTAAATGTACGTGTGTTACTGATCCTTATTAATCTTACTAGACTCTTATCTCCTTGAAGACCCAGAGGTCAATCCTGTAGCTGGCACATAATAGATATTCAATAAATGTCACTGAATGAAAAGGAAAACTCTAAATGGCAAGACAGCTTCTTCAAAAGGGTACCTTGCTTTTGGGTGGTGGGCTGTTTGTGCTCTTGTCTGTGTGAATGCTGGTAGGAGATACAGCAGCACCGAGGTTGCCTTGGGGTATGCCTGGGAGCTTCCCTCCTGGAGATACCTGCATTGCAGCTAGCTGGGCAGCATATAACTGCTACAAGAAAAAAAGGGAGAGAGAAGGAAAGAGAGATAAAAGACTGTCAGTAATAAAATAAATGCACCTCTCAGAAAGTACCTATATTCAGAGGTCGTAGTTCTTCTGAGTCTTCTTGTTTACTGCCCTGGAACATTTTAAAAAAAGAAGTTATCACCTTAACTTTCATGACTTCCTTCTCTGGGGAGAAATGACAGATACCAAATAGAAGGGATTCTAGCTTCAGGATGTCCAGGGACTCAAAACAAATAACAGTCATTCATATTTAGTCTTTCCTAATGTCTAGAGAAAATAAGTCTATCATATTATTTGGTCAAGACTTCTTTTTGCTCTATTTTAAAATGTTCACAGTGCATTAGAAAAGAACACAGCCTCATATGCAAAGTAATTTTCTTACTATCCATATCAGTTTAAGTCTGGTATACCTCCTTTTTTTTTTTTTTTGACTTGTTGCAATAGACACCTGTAACAATTTTTTTCCTAATCATACAAATACACAAAAAGCCATTGAGAGGGCATGAAAGGAGAGTATCTGAAGAACATTATCTGGTGAGTCTACCTACATTGAAAAAATTAACTGGATGCTTGCCAGAAGTCCACTTTACGTCATGGTATATAAACACAGACAAACCCGAAATCATCTTGAGGATTAGGGTTTTAAGAATACTGTCTGAAACATGCACTCTTCCACTAAGCCACCACACAGTAATTTTTATTAAATAACCAGTAAAAAATTCTTCAACAAATCAATTTAATAACAAAAGAGAATGTCACTTTGATAATAATTGCCATATGATATGGTATCTTAAAACAAGGAGGTTACTTTAGATTCCAATAGTCACCTTAAATGTTTCGATCAATTCTCTTTTCTTCACCAGTCAGTAGTTTGTGAAAATTTTAGGGTTTGGATGGAAAAGAAATTATTAGCATGTATGCATGCGTCTGCACACACACACACATGCACATGTATGTGTGTATGCAAGCTAGAATTTCTGTAATAAAATGACTGATACTAAAGAAAAAAGCCCTCAGAGAAAAGTACTGTGACATAGCTTATCCTGATTTTTCTCTGAAAGAAATTTCAAATGGTACAACTGCTCAGGATAAGCCAGAGACCCTGATAAGTGGGGTCTCTCTAGAAATGAAATATTGAAAACTGAAGACAGGCATATATTTACATGAAAATACACACACATTGTTCATAGTTTCCAGATATTGTGGTTTAAATGAAACAGATCATTAAAATTATTGATAAAAATTGTTTTTTATGACAACTAACACAAGATATATTCCAGACAAAGGAAACCAGAAGAGTATATTTGTACTATCAGTAATGAGTGTTCCTTCTCCCCAAGTTTGTGTGTATTTTTTATTTCAGTCTTTGAAACAGAAAAATAGGATTTAATTCATATGCCTTAGATTTCATAAAAAAGAGTAAAAGGACATGACGTCAAATACAATGACTGACAGTTTATCATTTTTTCAAGTATCAGAATTAATCCATTTCCCACACTTGTGTTAAAAACCTTTGCATTGTTTTCTACAATTCAAAAAAAAGTAGTATTTTCTGTCTTCATCCTAAGCTGTTGATGAAGTTATTAAGAAAATAACCAATATTCCAAGATACCACTCTGTAAATTAAAATTTTATCCAGTAAAATACATGTACTGAATAACATTTACTGAACTAAAAATATTATTAAAAATAGTCTGAAGTAATATCACATATTATAAATTTCATATTGTATTATATATTATCTCCTTGTCTTTAAAAATTATTCTAGTGGGTATTATACCTAGAAGCTAATAATCCATATTACTGGTTTAGTATACATATAATATAAGATTGTTTCATAATTACTGAAGATTGACCTGAGATACTTTAATATCTGTAGGTAAAAAGAAAAATGTGGACAAAATAATTATTCAAAATTTTGATTATTAAAGAATTATTAATTCTTTCATAATTTGAAAAAATATTGCCGCTATGTGTTAATTAGATAATTAAATAGACTAGTCACTTATAAAAAGTGATTCAATGCTTAAAAATAAATCTCTACAGACAGAATCACAACTTCCAAAGTAGTATAAGAACTACTATTGAAATACAAGTATAAGCATACTCTGAAATACTTTATTGAATTTGAAGGTTGCAGATGACATATATTTGGAATAAAAAATAACATGCACATCCTTTCCTCATTAAAATAAATGCATTATTTTTATCTTTTTAATTATGAAATTAAGGTTTATCCTCATTAAACTGTCCTGAGAGATGCTTTTGAGTAAAAAAAAAAAAACTAAATTTGTAAAATAGATGGACCCATTTAAACATTTTTACGAGAACAGGATGGTATCATACATTTTACTGGTACTTTTATAGACTATAGAAATTTAAAGTAATTTATGATGAAAATGTCACAAGCATATAAAATCTACAAGAGTATGGTTAACATTAGGTAGCTCTTCATTCCTCTCAATCTTCCATATCCTTTTCCTCATATTTGGCTTTCTCCTGCTTCACCAAGGCTTGAAAGTAGGAAATATCTATTTCTAATAAGTTTTATTTTGTGTAAAATATATGTGCTCCTTAAATTTACATTATATTACAGGAAGCATTAAAAAAGCCCGATCTTAGAAAATCTAACACACTTCAAGTCTGCACAGGTAAAATAAACCAGAAATTTTAATACTTCTGGGTCCTAATTTGACCTAATACACAAGTTAAAAGGAAATTTAAGTAGTTTTAAAGAAGCAACTTACCAAAAAGAAAAAAAAATGCCGCTGTGACTTACTTAAATTTAATCTTTCAAAAAATTAAGTTCATTTATCCATATATGTGTGTGCTGACTAATTTTAAAAGAAGGGAATCAAGAGATGACTAATATTTTATTTCATTTATTACATGCTCTTAAAGCAAATCAAGAGTAACAGTAGCTCTTTGTATTGAGTGAGAGCAACAATCACAGAACCACTGGTTGATCTTGTTGAGAGGGAAGGGTCAGTGGAATGTAGTGGCATTGGAAGGCCACCTGAAGTAAAAAAACATCCTGTGAACCATATAACCCATTTCCATATTATAGATACACCTATAATTTGTGTGTATATGTAGCTTAAGTATACAAAGTTTTTAGGCAAAAATCGGGTTAACATTTTTCTTTAAAAGACTGTAGATAAATCGAGAGTTAAATATAAAATGCATCATGATAAATGTACTTTCATGAAAAAATTAAGTTGTTCTAAACATCAAAAACAAATTGGGAGATCCAAAACATAAAAAGCTAAGGCTTAAAGAGAGCACTCACTTCATGAGCTTAGCCAGACTAACAGAATAATGATTTTTCCCTTGCAGAATAATTTTACACTTATCTCGAAACTCTGGTGTTAGGGATTTAATTTCTAAAACTCCCAAGTTCTACAGATCATTAGGTTTTCCACTCTTTAAAATACTGTATTCCTAATGTCTTTCCCTTCATTCCTACACCTACTTCAGACAAAGATTTTTTTTTTTTTTTAAGAAAACAATCACATAAAATTAAGATGGAAACTATCCATTGGTTACTTAGGGTCTTCTTGGTTCTCATGTGTCCATAAGTGTCTGTGTGTGTGTGTGTAACTCACTTTCGTTTCAAATTGTTCCATAAATCTATTTTTTAAAGATCTATTTATTTATTTATTTATTTATTTATTTATTTATTTATTTATTTATTTATTTATTCATGATAGACATAGACAGAGAGAGAGGCGCAGAGACACAGGGGGAGGGAGAAGCAGGCTCCATGCCGGGAGCCCAATGCGGGACTCAATCCCGGGACTCCAGGATCACGTCCTGGGCCAAAGGCAGGTGCTAAACTGCTGAGCCACCCAGGGATCCCCTGAAGTTCTTTCAAGGACCTGTGGCTTTCTACTTCTAGTGTACTTCTACTAGAACAGTTAAAAGTAAGGCAAAATTCCATTCTAATACCAGTTCTGAACTAGTGACCTTGGGCAATGACACTGAGGCAGTGTTCTTTAATCTGCAAATTCAGGATAAATAAAACTGACCTTATAGGGTTGCTGTGAGAAATAAATCACATAATATATAAAAAATACTCAGAAACATATGGCAAAGAATGCTTTATCAATAAGTAATAGTTATAGTTAGCAATTAATTATACCAAGTAAGAGACTGACTAGATAATATAAATGTGCTGACTTCCTGCTATATACTCTGGACTGTGCTAGGCACAGTGGAGGGTACAAACAATAGATAAATATAGTTTCTTCCTTAAGTCAAGACTGATAAACATAAAACAATGAGAATATAAATGTCTTATAACTGTATGCCACTTTTAAAGGTGTGAAGGGAAAGGAAATGAGTCAGGGCGAACCGATTTTTCATAGAAGAGATGTAGTTAAGCTGGAAGTAGAAAAGGAGGTGGCATTCTAAGGAAGAACAATTTAAAGGCACAGGGGCAGGAATGAGGTAGCTGTTGCAAAAGGAATGCAGAAGAAGGTGTGGAACGGTGACAGGAGAAAGGACAGTGACCTAATGAGTGCATATCCCAGGAAGAGTAAAGCAGCACTGGGTTTGTAGACTAGTGCACCTTACAGAAGATCTTCACATAAAGACTGAGTTTAAATTTAATATGTAGGTAGGCAAGTCACTGAATTTTTTAAAGCAATATATGTGATCGTTTTTACTAGAATAAAGATATGCAAAGTATCTGTTATGAGGTTATCAACATTTAGTAGCAATAATTTTAATGGTAACTTGAGTTGAAGTACCAATTGTGGAAATGAAGATGGGAAAAATGATACCAAGTTTATAGCACAGTGGGCACATAAATGACTACAAATTAACTGGGGAAAAGAAAAATGAAATAGAAGAACAGGATGAATAGTATAACTTATATGGTCTTTATTTCATTGATATAATATGTAAGTACTCACCTATCATATATTCTTATTTGTGTATATAGTCATTATACTATCTTGTATAACAGCTAAACCACATGTATT